CGCATTCTCCCCACCCCCGGGCCCGAGGCATGGGCCCTGCACCCCCAAGGCCACTCACCTTGACGTGCTGCATCAGCTCCGGCTTCTGCGGGAACAAGAGCGGGCACTCGGGGCACTTGAAGATGCCCACCTGTGCCTGGCTGGCATTCTGGTAAAAATGCTGCTGCATGTGCCTCTTCTTGTTGAAGATCATCTCGCAGGAGCACTTGTACATGAGCCTGTGGGACAAGCCCCAGGGCGTGAGGTGGCCAGGGCTCTGCTGGCAGAACCACGCGGCCCTCCACCCCGTCGCCCCGCTCTCTGAACCGGGGTCGGGCGTGGGAAAGCGCTACTCTGAGCCAGTGCGGCTTCTCCCCGGCCTCGGATGTCTTCGGTGGACTCCAGACATCTCTGCCGCTAGCCCCGGCTCCCAGGCGGACCCAACACCTTCCCCTCCAGCACCCAGGCCACTGGGCTCTGCCCCCAGGCCTGCTGGCCCCGGGGCTGCACTCACTGGGAGGGTTTGTGGGGCTGGGTGGGGTGCTGGGAGGCGCTGTGGTCTGCGGTGCTGCTGGCAGTCTTGAAGGCCATGGGGCAGAAAGCACATTTGTGGAAAACCTGGCAGTGTTTCTCCTGGATGTGGCTTTTCAGCAAGGCCAAGGACAAGTGGACGACCCCGCAGTGGATGCACCTGAATGACAGGGGGGAGGCGGGGGGGAGTGGAGGTTAGATCCAGAGGTGGTCCTGGAAAAGGAGGGATAGGGGACAAGAACAGAGCCGTGTTGGGACTCATGGTCACACCACCACTCGTCTGAGAAGGGGGTGCACCCAGAGCTATCCTACGGTTCCGAAGCTTCGCTTTCCATTCGTCACTCGTACATCTGAGAACCTGCCTGCTGCTGTCTGGCATAATGCGGTCGCCCAGGACCCCCCAAATCCAAGGCCACACCTGGTAGAGAAGTGGGGAGAAACTCTCCCCTCCCCTCATTGGCGAGAGGATATTCGTCTGCAAACTAAAAACTTGGGCCCAGCTAAGAGAAGTTGGTGGGGGTGGAGAAGGGAGGGAGTGGTCAAAACAATGATACAAACAGTATTCATTTAATGTGGTACAACTGCAAGAGGAATTTCAAGAGGCTGTACCTCCCACAGGCTGGTACTCGGTAAGCAGGGATGGCCACCGAATAAGAAACAGTTAAGAAATGCTAAGCTCCCCGTAACAACCACATTAAAACAAATGGCCCCAGGCCAGGAATAAACGCTCTAGAGCAGCGGTCCCTGAGGCCCGAAAGGTTGGCGACTGCGGCTCTGGAGTATCCCTGTCCGGTGGCACTTGCTCTGATGATGGAAGTGTCCTCTGCTGCAACGTCCATGCTGCTCTTCAAATTTAAGTTGATAAAATGAAACGGCCAGACGTACTGGACACATTTCAAGTGCTCAGTAGCCACTGTGGCTGGTGCCATTCTGGACCATGCAGCTCGTCAGTGCTGTGACGTCTCCTTGGTGGGCGACTTTTCATTTCTCTTTCTCCCTACTAATTGCTATTTTCTGCGTTTTGTTTAGCGGATGTATCATTTCTTATTATGTAGGAACTGTCTGCAACCACTTTTCTGAAATTGAGGCCGTGTTGGACGCTTCTTTTGACTTCAGATATCTCGCTATAAATGTTGCCTTTGAGCATGTGACCTGCCTCCTTGCCAACCTGAACCCACAGAGTCACACCCGCTCATGCTCAGTCCTTCCTCCTGCCCATAGACACACACAGGCCTCCCTCCAGGAGAAAACACCTCCGACCTCCCTCTTGCTGCAACACTGCCTGCCACATGCCTGCCCCGTCGCCGTGACCCCTGGGAGCTCTCGGAGAGGGGCTGCCGCTGCCCTGCATGAAGGAGTTCACTTAAGAACTCCTTCATGCCGTAACCGGTTTGGCTCAGTGGATAGAGCATCGGCCTTCGGACTGAAAGGTCCCAGGTTCGATTCCGGTCAAGGGCATGTACCTGGGTTGCGGGCACATCCCCAGTGGGAGATGTGCAGGAGGCGGCTGATCGATGTTTCTCATCAATGTTTCTAACTTTCTATCTCTCTCCCTTCCTCTCTGTAAAAAATCAATAAAATATATATTTAAAAATAGGTTTTAGGTACTGTAACTATTTTTGCCACCATAGTAAAACACAGACTTATATTTCTGATATTTATTTTACATATTTAAATGCCATTTAACAAAGAAAAATCAACCAAGAAATGAGTTTGCGTGTCACCTCTGACACGCGTGTCATAGGTTCGCCATCACTGTTCTATACAAACCACTTAGTGATATTTATTTTTCTCTCTTGTTAAACAATAGAGTGCCCAACCCTAGCACACAGAGTAATTTCCACACCACAGGTATTCTGAGGGAAAAAATCCACATGTTTCCAAATTCCTCCACCGTGGCCAGGGACACCTGATACGTGTAAAGACGCTGCTAAGTGGCCTTATGTGTGTAGTTGGACCGAACTCCTGCAGGAACAGTGTAAGTATCCACTTCAAAAATTCGCCTGAAAACACATCCTATTTACCCAGTAGACACGCTCTTCAAAGAAACCGCCCTGAAAGTAAGAATGTGAAGGGGTAAACGCACGCCGAGCAGCCTCAGTGGAGAGGAGAGAGAATCCAACCCCATGACACAAGTCTGTACCAAATTGTTAAGAAAAAAAGAGAAAACAGACAGGGATAGAATCATATGCTGTGAGATATGTAGTTTTAGAAAAGAGAAAGAGCAGTAATAATGTTGATTTTGCTAACAATCACAAATAATAAGAAAATAACATACAGCGGGGCCTTGACTTACGAGTTTAATCCATTCCGAGATCGAGGTCGGTAAGGAGCTCGTTAACTCAAATTACTCTGTCAACTCCATGCAAAAAAATCAGCCGAGAGACAGCTGGTATCTCAAAAAGCTCGTTAGTCGGGACACTCATAAGCCAAGGCCCCACTGTATTATTTTCTTATTTAAGACAGCCTAAATTTGTTCCCTTATGACATCATTGGCCACTCTCCAAATTATCAACAGAGAGCAGAATAATTTATACAGTTTTAAATATATATATATAATGTATACATACATTGCACATAGAATATATAAACATAAAAAAAATATAAAGTATACAGGCTTTTTACATTGTCTTCAAGAAAAAGCAAAAGTAATATAAAAAATAATATTGTAAAATTGTACTAAAGCTCAATGAAATGAAACATAGGTACTTTTTGAGAATTTATTTTAAAATATTAATACCTACAGAACAAGAGAAAATATTTGCAAATCGTGTATCTGACAAGGTACCTGTATCCAGAATATACAAAGAACCCTTACGACTCCATAATAAAACAACCCATTTTAAAAATGGGCAAAAGATCTGAATAGACATTTCTCCAAAGAAGATATATTTATGACTCCATAATAAAACAACCCATTTGCCGAAACCGGTTTGGCTCAGTGGATAGAGCGTCGGCCTGCGGACCGAAGGGTCCCGGGTTCGATTCCGGTCAAGGGCATGTACCTGGGTTGCGGGCACATCCCCAGTGGGGGACGTGCAGGAGGCAGCTGATCGATGTTTCTCTCTCATCAATGTTTCTGACTATCTGTCTCTCTCCCTTCCTCTCTGTGGAAAATCAATAAAATATATTTAAAAAAAAAAAAAAAACAACCCATTTTAAAAATGGGCAAAAGATCTGAATAGACATTTCTCCAAAGAAGATATACAAATAGGTGCTCAACACCACCAGCCATCAGGAAAAGCCTCATCAAAACCATAATGAGACGCCATTTACACCCACAAGGGCGGCTAGAATCAAAAGTCAGAGCAAATGCTGGCGAGGATGTAGAGAAAGCAGGACTCTCATGAATGTTGGTGGGAACGTAAACATGGTACAGCCACTCTGGGGAAGTCTGGCAGTTGCTCAAAAAATTAAACTGAGTCCTGGCCAGGTGATTCAGTTGACTGGAGCATCGTCCCCTGCACCAGCGGGTCTTGGGCTCGATTTCCAGTCAGGGCACACACCCAGGTTTCGGGTTCGATCCCCAGTAGGGGCATATGGGAGGAAACTGATCAATGTATCAATGTCTCTCTCTTTTTCCCCCTCCTACCCTCCCTACCCCCCATTCTCCCTCTCTAGAATCAAATTTTTTTTTAAGTTAAACTTAGAATTACCATATGACCCAGCTATTCTACTCCTAGGTGTGTACCCACAAAAACTGAAAACATATATCCACACAAGAACTCGTACATAAATATTCATTAGCAGCATTTTTCATAATAGCCAAAAGGTGCCTATCAACTGACAAATGGATAAACAATATGTAGTATATACATCCAATAGGATATCATTCAGCCATAAAATAGAATGAAATACTTTATATGTGTTACAACATGGATGAATCTTGAAAATATTATGCTCAGAGCACATATTTTATGATACATTTATATGAAATGTCCAAGATAAATCTACAAGACGGAGAGTAAGTTGGTTGTTTATGGACTGAGGGGGTGGGAGAAGAGTCAATATAGAGATTTTGTGGGTAAATATAGACATTTTTTAGGTGAATATGTAACTCTGAATATACTGAAAACCATGAGATTGTACACTTTAAGTGGGTGAATTGTATGGTACGTAAGTTATATCTGAATAAAGCCGTTACCAAAAAATATATTAATAATAGAAGGTCTTAACTGTAATGAAAAGTGTGTTAGTGTGTATGTCTTTGGAATGCAATAACAGATCATTGGAGATTTTAATGTCTGTTATATTCAGTAGTCCTTCCAGAATGCATAGCTGAGTCATAATACATTTATCTGACATTTCTTACAAAAAGGCTTGAAAAACTAAACTGCTTTTGAAACAGTTTCCTTTTACTCTTATATAAGAAAGTAAATAAAATAATTAGAAAACAAAAAACTCTATTCATCCACCTGTATAGATTCAAAGTTAAAAATCTAAGTGTTGCCCTGACTGGTTTGGCTCAGTGGATAGAGCGTCGGCCTGTGGACTGAAGGGTCCCAGGTTCGATTCCAGTCAATGGCATGTACCTTGGTTGTGGGCACATCCCCAGTAGGGGGTGTGCAGGAGGCAGCTGCTCGATGTTTCTAACTCTCTATCCCTTTCCCTTCCTCTCTGTAAAAAATCAATAAAATATATTTTAAAAAAAAATCTAAGTGTTGATTGCATGTCTATTGGATTGGATTCCGGAAGTAGCACACGCTTCAGTCACAGTTAGCAAGGTGTTTATGTTACAGGACACTGTAACAGCACTCGTCAGGCGTTTGGCTTAAAATGTAGGCTGGGAGGCTGCCAAGCCCTACTCTTCTGCAACATGGCGGCAAGGGCTTCACACAACTCTGTCTGGCCGTTTCGTTTCTCATGCACTTCATTCTCTGTTCTCCATAACATGCAACGAAATGAGTCTACATTTGGATGTGTTTATACCAAGATAGAAAGCTGGAGTCATCACTAACCCTCCCGTCCTCACCCCCGTCTACAAGCTATCATCGAACCCTAACGCTTACACTTCCTGCATCTCTCTCAATTCTACCTTCCCTCCGTCCCAAGTCCATGCCTGAGCTGAAGCCCTCAGCATCTCACCTGGACCGTCACACTTGCCTCTCCAACAGTCTCCAGTCTCCACCCTCCTTAGCCTAACGTGTCAGCTTCCCAGAAACAACTGAGCCGATCACTCCCCACTGCACATCTGTCCATAGCTTCCCACTGTCCACTGGCTAAAGACCAAATGTCTACCAAGGAATACAAGGTTGTGCAAGGCCTGGCCTCCACCAACTCCGGGTCTCATTTCTCACCGCCCCCCCCACCATTCCTCCTGACCCACCTCTACAGAAATGCTGACCTTCCCATAAGCCCTGTTGTGTGTGCTAGTATCCCGCCCATACCCTTGCTCCAGACACACTCGCCCTTTCTTTTGTCTGAAAACCTCCTAATACCCGCTCTCTGAAGTTTCCCTGGGCCATTCCTCCATACGGGACTTACCACTCCGAGTTACAACTTCTGTGTACATGTTTATAACCTACCAGACTGACGCCCCCTGGAGCTCAGGGAATGTGTCTTAATCATTTTTATATCTTCAGTGTCTGGCACAATGCTAAAGACAATAATAAGTACTAAAGTTAAATAGACTAAAACAATAATTTTTTTTTAAATACCAACGAGAAGAAAACCTTACTAAATTTGGGCAAAATTAAGTTTCAGAAGTGAAAGTAATAAAATAAACCATGAAATGTAGTAACTCCCAAATGCAGTAAACCGGCACAGGAGACCTGATGGGGGCGATGTGAAAGTTAGAGATCAGTGAGCTTTGGAGGGTTTTCCCCTATTCTTTTTCCTGAAAATGACACCTTGCTTATATATGTTTGACACATTGGAGGAGATTCCGTCTCAAATAGGCTTTTCTTGTTCTTACTCGGAGGCCGACCATTTTTTCCATTCTCAGGTGTCACTTGCTTCTCACACACTGACAAAAACGAATCAACGCGGAGACACTAGAGCCCTCAGAGTTTGGAGTCTGGCAGCTCCATTTGTTAACGAGAATCGGGAACATTTCAAAGTGCTGCAATTAGTAAATTTATCGTTGAAATTGTGCTTTCCATTTAATATGCCAAACACAATAACTCTGTGAGCAAATTAAATTAGCATCTTTCAAAAAACCAAGCTGACAAAGTGAATGTTGTACCTTCCCCTCTGAAGCGATATTTGCTCATGTTTAATTTTGTTTGAACTCCGTATTCTTCTCCCCCTTGCGCCTCTGGGTGTCTAGAAAACACACCCATCAGCTTGTCTGACTAGGCTGGAGCCCAGGGCTCCGAAGACGAAGCTCAACGGCAAGTTCTGGGCCAGGAGAAGGACCAGCCCCCGGGCAGGACAGCGAGCCGGGCAGCACCCACCTGTAGCCCACCTTGCGGGCATAGTGCAGGCAGTTCTCCTTCACGTGGGTCTGGAAGTAGGCGGAGCGACAGAGGACGCCACACTCTGGACAGCAGTACGGGGACTTGTGTGTGTGGATCCGCTGGTGAGCACAGAAACTGCACTGGTTGGGCAGCAGCATCTGGCACACCGGGCACGTCTAGGAGAGAGCACGGAGAAGACGGTTCACGCAGGCGCCGCCGGCCCTGGCTCTCCAGCCACAGCTGCCTGGCTTTCCCAGGGCCTGGGTCCGAACGGCCCTCCACCCGCTGCAACTATCCTCTTAGGACACTTGACACCCTAGACCTCATTGAGAGTGTTGATACTGCCCGACCGGTGTGGCTCAGGGGTTGAGCGTTGACCTGTGAGCTAGGAGGGTACTGTTCCATTCCCAGTCAGGGTTTTGGCCTCGATCCCGGGTAGGGGGTGTGCAGGAGGCAGCTGATCGATACTTCTCTCTCATCGATGTTTCTAACTCTATCCCTCTCCCTTCCTCTCTTTAAAAAATCAATACAATGTATTTTTTTAAAAAGAATTTTGGCCAGAACAACAAATACTCTCTTTCAAATCAATTTAAAAAGCATCTATTTTTTAAAAGTGTTGATACTGACCCAAGCAAGCCTCACCTTGTTAATCACAGACAGACCAGACCCTGTTTTCCCGATTAGTCCTGTGCGAGGACTGTGAGGGTTTCTTCCCTCTGGCTGAGCAGAGGGCCAGCCTTTCCTCTGCAGAGGCCCAAGGCCCTCCTTGAAGTCTGAGATCTCACTGCACTGCCACACTCGCCAGGTCCTCACCCTGGCTTGGCAGAGGTGGTTCCTACTCAACACCTTGTCAGATGGTTCGGTGACTTCCTACGGGGACCGGAGCGTGCCCCGGCTGCCGGCAGAAGCCCCAAGGGCACGCTGACTGAGGGCCTTGCCAGCTTCCATTTCCTCAGCCCTGCCTGTCCGCTCTGGGTGGGCAGGGGCGGAACCAAGGAAGAGGAGTCCTGCAGCCAGACTCACTGAAGTCCTAATGGGCGGAGCCCAGACAGCCAGAGGGAGGAACAACAGGCTGAGGGTGCCCACATCTGGAGAAGTCCTTCTCAGCAAAGACAGGCCACTGTGCTGCTCACTTGGGGGGTGGGAGTAGGGGGCTGACCTGGGTCCGAGGAGTTTGCAGAAGGACAAGTTGTTAGGGAGGACAGAAAAGGGTCTCTGCTTTAATCAGCTAAATCCAGATGGGGGGCCTCTACAGGACAAACCCAGCTCTTTCTACAAATAAATGACAAGGGGGTGAAAAAAGAGAGGGAAGGGAACCTTTGATTTGATTTAAAAGAAATTTTCAGTAACTGCAGTGTATGTATGGCACTTATTTGGATAATAATTCAAGCTAGCCAAGTGCAAAAAAGAATGAGACATTACCTTTATTATATTTTTATATTATTGTATTTAGCACTAACTTAAATTGCTCTGGATATATGATTATCTAAAAACTAAGCTGTACACCTGAAACCAATACAAAATAAAATTGAAAGAAAAAAAAAGTATCTACATCACTTAAAAAATAAAAAAAAGACTAACTTAAGCATAACATTGGGACATTTGCCACTTGATATTAAGATTTGATAATGAGAGATTATTAACTTTAAGAAATAATGATACTATGTTGACATTATGGAAGGGAAATCTTATCTTTTAGAGACACATGAAATATGTACAGATACAATGATGTTTGGGTTTATTTAAACATAATCTGTTGGAGGGGAAAGGAGGGGTAAGAAAATACATGAAAGCCCTAACCGGTTTGGCTCAGTGGATAGAGCGTCAGCCTGTGGACTGAAGGGTCCCAGGTTCGATTCCGGTCAAGCGCATGTACCTTGGTTGTGGGCACATCCCCTGTGGGGGATATGCAGGAGGCAGCTGATCGATGTTTCTCTCTCATTAATGTTTCTAACTCTCTATCCCTCTCCCTTCCTCTCTGTAAAAAATCAATAAAATATATTTTAAAAAGAAAATACATGAAACAAGATGGGCCATGAGCGAGTACTTGTTCATTATACCATTAGGAGAGTTCATTAACCATCCTTCCCACTTTTGTAAATGTTTGGAACGTTCCATAATAAAAAGGGTGGGTTTTTATTTAAGTATTACTTTAGGCGAAGAACAGTAAATGAGCATGCCCTTTTGTGTAAGAGGAGACTATCTCACACACACACACACACACACACACACACACACACACACCTATTTGCTTTTGTTTGCCAAAAGGGAGCAATGCAGTGATAAACCAAAAGTGATAAAAATGGTTACCTATAAGGAAGGAGGGGACAGGACAGGGATGGAAGCAAGACTTCTCTCAATGTACCCTGCTATACAGTTTTAATTTTGGAATCAAATGTGTGTTTTGTTTTGTTTTAATCCTCACCCGAGGATAATTTATTCCACTGGATTTTAGAGAGAGTGGAAAAGAGAGGGAAAGACAGAGAGAAACACTGATGTGAGAGAGACACATCAACTGGCTGCCTTCCACACGCCCCTGACCTGGGCTAGGAGCCTGCAACCGAGGTACGTGACCTTGACCGGCCCCTGACCTGGGCCAGGAGCCTGCAACCGAGGTACGTGTCCTTGACCAGAATTGAGCCTGGGAACCTTCAGTCTGCAGGCTGAGGCTCTATCCACTGAGCCAAACTGGCCAGGGAGGAATCAAATGCTTTAAATAGTTTTTAGGTAATATGAAATGAAACTAAATAACCAAAAGCATTCCCTAAAAATTGAAAAACAGAAACATATAACCTAACTAACATCAAGTAACTATATCAACTACATAGAAAAAAGGATTAGTGCACTCCCAGGAACCTTTCAAATACAACATTTTGACCAATATGTCCTTAATGAGATACATCCTGCAGGCAGGAAGACCTGTGAGCACACCTTCACCTTTCTGCAGTTGTCTTCATGTAACAAATAATATTGGGTTTTGATACTTTGAAATTTGTGTGTGTGTGTGTGTGTAAAAGGGAAATCTTAGGAACCAAGACTTTCAGTGTAAAATCAGTTCCATAAGCACTCTATAATCTTACATCTGAATACCAGCATAAACTCATGATCTTTTCTTCTCTTTTTTAAAAAAATATGACTTCTTTATTGATTTTGTAGAGAGAGGAAAGAAGAGAGAGACAGAAACATCCATGAGAGAAACATCAATCAGCTGCCTCCCGCACGCCCCCTACTGGGGATCGAGCCCAGAACCCGGGCATGTGCGCTCACCGGGAATCGAACCGTGACCTCTTAGCTCATGGGGCGATGCCCAACCACTGACCCACACCGGCTGGGCTCTTTCCTCTTCTTAAAAACTTCTATTTCTTAGCTCTCGCCACTGAAAAGGCCTAGAAACAAAGATACATCCCGTAGCTATGAGCATCTCTGCTCCCCAGAATGTGGCCTCTGAATACCACTCCGCAGTAAAAGAAACTTGGCTTCTTGGGGAGATGGCTGATTCTAGGTTTGGCACAAGAAATGTACCAGGGCACCTTGTTGGGGCGGAAAGCTTCTCAAGGCTTAACTGGTTTGTGTCCGAAAGGGACACAGGAGTCACTTTGAAGAGGCTCCCAGGGACCAAAGATAACTGGAGCATCAAAAAGTATGACTGAAGCCGAGCTGGCATGGCTCGGTGATTGAGCATCGGCCTATGTACCAGGGGGTCACAATCTGATTCCCGGTCAGGGCACATGCCTGGGTTGCGGGCTCGATCCTCAGTACGGGGTGTGCAGGAGGCAGCCGATCCATGATTCTCTCTCGTCATTGATGTTTCTACCTCTCTCTCCCTCTCCCTTCCTCTCTGAAATCAATTAAAGAAACATATTTTTCTTTTAAATGAATGAGTTCGCCCTGACCAGTTTGGCTCAGTGGATAGAGCATCAGCCTGAGGACTGGGGGTCCCAGGTTCGATTCCGGTCGGGGGCATGTACCTTGGTAGCGGGCACATCCCCAGTGGGAGGTGTGCAGGAGGCAGCTGATCCATGTTTCTCTCTCATCGACGTTTCTAACTCTCTATCCCTCTCCCTTCCTCTCTGTAAAAAATCAATAAAATATATTTTAAAAAAATGAATGAGTTCATGATAACACTAAAACTAAAAATAACAGACTGTCGCTGACACCCATTAGGATGGCTACTATTAAAAAAAAAGAAAATGACAAATGTTAGTGGAAATGAGGCAAAACTGAAACCCCTATTCACTGTTGGTGGGATTGTAAATTTGTGCGGCCACTCTGAAAAACAGTATGGCTATTCCTCAAAAAGTTAAATACAGGACTCTCATATGATCCAGCAATTACACTTTCGGATAGTATGTACCTAAAAGAATTGAAATCAGGGTCTCTAAAAAGTATTTGTACACGCACGTTCGTGGCATTATTCACAATACCCAAAAGGCAGAAGCAACCAAGTGTCCATCAACAAATGAATAAACAAAATGTGGTTTTTACATACAGTGGAACATTATTCAACCTTAAAAAGGAAGGGGATTCTGACACATAGAGGACATTATGCTAAGTAAAATAGCCAGTCACAAAAAAACAAACAAATACTGTATGATTCCACTCAGATGAGGTACCTAGAGTAGTCAAATTCATCGAGACAGGAAGTTGCCAAGGGTTGGAGGGGGAAGGAGGAGGAAATGTTGTTTAATGGGGACAGAGTTGCAGTTTTGCAAGATGAAAAAGTGCTATAGTTGGGTGGTGATGATGGCTGCACAACAGTGTGAATGTACTTAGTAGTAAATGACACTGAACAGGACAGTTAGAAAATGAAGAGTTCTGGAAACGGATTGCAAAAGAGTGTGAATGTACTTAATGCTACAGAACTAAGTAACAAAAAGAATGAATAACATTAGAAAAACACCCGTCTGCAAGTCTTAATATTAGTGACTCAAGCAGCAATTATTGGGTATTAAACTCATTAGGTAAAAGATAGGGAACTTTACAATGAAGGGACCAGAAAACCACTGTCTAAATTCCCCCCTAAGGTCTGCATCATTAAGACACAGACAATCAGACACTTTGCACCTCCCTGAAGTCATGAAATGTGGAGGACACGGGACTCCCCTCCTCAGCACTGACCCCGAACCTATTGGAGTCTTTACTGCTAATTTCTAGTCTACAGACAAAGTGTGGGATTGAAAAAGAACAAGTTAATTATCTGAGGAAGCAATCAGGCAAAGCCGAAATTATCCTGGAAAGTTCTCAGGAAGCAATCAGACTCAAGACTGTCCCGGAAAACCCTCCGGACACATGGCCCAGTTTCTTCAACAAACCAGTGACGTGAAAAAAGGGGGGTCCGATCGGGTGGATGGGACAAGGTACTGTTCTAGACGAAAAGTGTAAAAGGCTTATTAGCAAATGCAAAGTGTGGTCCCTGTGTGGATCCTGATTCAAAGACAAGTTTTGTCACGAATGGGAAAATTTGAATATGGCCTTGTGTTAGGACATATTAAGGAACTGTTATTAATTTCGTTAGATATGATAATGGCATTAAGAACAAGAAGAAACTGTCTCTCTGTGCTGACATCCCACCCAAGAGGGTAGCTTGGGATGTCAGGGGAAGGACCAACCCCCTCTCCCCCCCCCAGCCACTGCACAGGGAGGCAGGTGGGGTTCAGGGACAGTCTCCCAGGAAGAACACAGAAGGCCTGCACATGCTGTCCTGCAGTCACTCAACGACCCCAGAGTGGAAGAGTGGACACCCCTCCTCCCACCTACCCCCTGCCCTAGACCAACCTGAAGCGAGGGCACTCGTTCCGGGAAACCCAGATCCAAAAGCCATCCAGGCTAGTTTTGACCCCAGAGCTCAAGCCTCACCCTTTCTGTGAGACTCAGAGGCCACTTTTACAGGCATGAGATTTTAAGGGATTAGAACGAGGCTGAGAGAGGCCTGACAGCCCTCCTGGTGGTCCCTCCCCTCCTCGCGGCTGGGCCCTGCTGTCCAGCTCCTGTTAGACGAGAATGACACAGAGAAGAGGCAGGACAAGCAGGTCACCAGCAGGGGATCCTTGACCCAGACTTCCCTCACATGTTGGAAGACACCAGTGAGGAACAGTGTGGGGAAAAGAGGACCAGGCATCAGACCTCCACTGGCAATGGCTCTGGTCACAGGACTCAGAAGATGCAATCCAGGACCCAGTCAACCCTGCTGGTACATGAAACCCCAAGGAGAGGGCTGGAGAGACCATACTCCACCTGACTCATCGGAAGGAAAATACAGACACGGAGGTGAACATGAGAGGCAACAGCGACCCTTGGCACCTCTGGTCCCTTTTGGAGCTGCAGAAGCCCCACCGTCCCCCCAAATTCCTCCCCCTGCCTCTACCCCACACTCCGGAGGCTGCCTCACTCGTGACAGCTCCCTGTTCTCAAACACACGTGGCACTTGCACATACTGTTGTCCCTCTACCTGAACGCCCTGCCTCTCCCCTCCTCCACGCTCAAATGTCACGTGTGGCGTCACAGTGAATTGTCCCTCTGAGGCACTTTCTGCAACGATGTTGACAAGCCTGTTCCAACCGGCTCTGCATCTGCACACACTCAGATGTTTGGTGGCGAGCTCTGAGCTGGCTGTGCCGCCGGGAGCTCCAGGAGGAACAGTGCGACTCCCTCCTGCTGGCACCCGAGCTCAGCTGGGAACACACACACGCAAAGCTCAGAGGCCCCCAGCAGGTGTGCAGGCCCCTGGCGAACTGACACAAAAAGAGCTACTGGATCAGTCAGCGTGACTCGGTGATTGAGCATCGACCTATAAACCAGGAGGTCCCAGTTCAATTCCGGATCAGGGCACATGCCCGGGTTGCAGGATCCATCCCGCGTAGGGTTTGCGCAGGAGGCAGCCGATCAATGATTCTCTCTCATCATTGATGTTTCTACCCCTCTCTCCCTCTCCCTTCCTCTCTCTAAAACCAATGAAAACGTATTTTTTTAAAAACATACAAATAAATAAATTTAAAAAGAAGCTGCTGTACTTCTGCCCCAGGCTCTGCAGCCCTCGCTGAAGGAAGCTGGTGAGGGGCGGGCGTGGCTAGGCCAGGAGAGACTCCTGCCACGTGGAGGAGGAGAAAAAGAGCCTCTGGAGGTGTCTGGAAGCCCCGATTCTTCACCGGGCGCTGCTCCCTCAGACAGCCACGGGCACAGAGGGTGCCAGAGGGTATCCCCAGCACAGATGCCTTTTTTTTTCTTTGCAATAAAGCCAGATCTCGTCAAACATAACCAAGAACGGGGAGCAGATACGCGCGGCTGCTTTCCTTGAGGGCTGAGAACGAGGAAGGAAGGAAGAGGCCCATAGGTCAGCCTATTGTGCTTCCCTCCACGTCAGCCCTGACACGGGCCCGGCTGCAGTTTCCACAACGGATTCTGCACAAGGAGCTGAGCCCACGGCAGGCGGCACGCAGCAAAGGATGGTTCTTAGAAGGACAGACCGAGGCACAGAGCAGTGTCACACGACCATGACCTCTGCTCCGAGTCCTGCGGGCACCTGGGAGGGCTGCCCAGACACCTGCCAGCAGAGACCTAGCGCAGGCCTGACCAGGAGCCCTGGCAGCCCACTGGGGTGGGAGCTGAGTGGACTTTGGGGCACGTCCACATAAACGCTCACCCAATCTTCAGGGCCTCCCATCAGCTGAGGGCAGGATGCTTTTCTCAGTCAACACCAAGCACCATCCAGTCAAGCAGGTCGCTAACCGTCCAGCAAACATCCTGTTCTCACACCGCTAAGGTGCCCCCACTGCCCCCATCGATGAGCCCGTGGGAACCCGGGCCTGACACCCGCCACAGGAAGGGTCACTTACCAGCCCCTCGGTTTTCTCCGTCAGCCTCTGGAAATGTGCCGCCATGACCGTGTGGTCGCGTATCTGCTTGTGACATTCGAGACACTTGACCCCGTGCCGGATGAGCCTCACGGGGTCTGGGTAGAGCGGCAAAGCTGGAACGGTGGAGCTGGCACTGTCCGAGGCGG